TGTGTGTGTGTGTGCATGTGTGTGTGTGTGCGTGTGTGCGTGCACCAGGGCGAGAGAGTCCTGGTGCATGGGTCCATTCATCTATGGGTGGGTCCCATGCTCTGAGCTAGGGTCACAATGGTGAACAAAACGGATGTAGTTCTTACTGTGACCTGCCCAGGGGGACAGATATTACAGGGGGGACCCTACACGAAGCATCTGAGCTGAGGAGGAAATGGTGAGGACAGCCGGCTGGAGTGCGGAGCAGCGTAGGGAGGGTGCTGCATGTCAACGTCCTGAGGTGGAAGGAGGAGGTGACTGTGAGGAACTAAAAGAAGGCCCACGCAGCTCAGAGAACAGGGCTGTCTTACAGGCTGACCTGGACCCAGCTCTGCAGACTCGGACCCAGGTCTTTGGGGTTTACCTGACCATGGGAAAAGCGCAAGGGCTTAGTCATCGGTACTGTGAAACCAATCCCACCCTCTTCAGACCGCAGGGTCCTTGCTCAGGCTCCCACAGCAGCAGGAGCCCTGCCCTGAGCCCAGCTAATGGCCCAGTCTTCTGTCCCCCCAGGACACTTCCCTTGGGGAATCTGGGGGTCTCTCCTGGAGAAGGCCTCACCTGGGACTGTCTCAAACCAAGAGAGAGGTTCTGAGGACATTGACCTCATGTCTCGCTCCTCTCCCCTGCTACCTCCTGCCCTCCCCCCTCCTCTATCTGTCCTTTGTCCCCTCTCCAGGCAGTGTTCTGGTGCCAGGCAGGTCAGTGCTGGAGCAAGCAATGCATCACCGTCACTGAGGTTGGGGCTCCTAAATGTTCTTCAGAAGCCCCTTTCCCATGGATCAAGGTCCCTGGACACCTGGAATTCCCAAGTCCTCGAGTGCCAGTCCTCCTCACTTCTACCATTTGCCCCCAGCTCTGGGAAAGATGCTCCAAGCACCCTCTGCCAGACCACTGTCCCCTCAAAGCTGCAAAGCTTTGGAGGAGTGGTGGCAATCCTGCACAGGGGAGTTCTGGGTGGGCCAGGCACTGGGGGGCTCAGGTGCCCATAACAGGACCCTCACGACCTCTGGACATGCCCAGTGTCAGGGCCAACAGGGAACCCAAAGCTCCTGCCCTGATGGACTTGGAATGCCCTGGCCCTGACTGGCAGCCAAGTTTACTCTCAGTGACCAGCCCTAGACTAGTCCAGATGCAAGCTTCCCAGGGAAGAAATCAAACCCAAGCCCACGATAATCATAGCTCATGCTGTGGTCCACCAGCGTCCATAGAGGACTGGCTCCAGGACCCCATGCAGACACCCAATCCATCCATGCTCAGGTCCCTTATGTGGAGTGACACAGTGTTTACACAGGATGAGAACGTCCTTCTGTACACTTGGACTCATCTCTAGATCACTTCTAGCACCTGACGTAATGTGAGGGCTACGTAAATAGCTGTCACAGTGCTATCCAAGGAATAATGACCCAAAACATCTGAATGTGTTCAGAACAGGGGCCATTTTTTTTTAAGTATTTTTTTTTCTTTTGGTACCAGCCATTAAACCCAGAGGTGCTTAGTCACCTTGCCACATCCCCAGTCCTTTTTATGTTTTATTTTGAGACAGGGTCTCACTAAGTGGCTGAGTCTGGTCTTGAACTTACGATCCTCCTGCCTCAGCCCCCTGAGATGCTGGGATTCCACAGCATCTCAACACAGGCCTTTTTGAAGTTATTTTCAGTCCACGGTTGTTTGAACCCACAGACGCGGAGCTGCGGACACAGAGGGCTGAGGACTTCGTGCTTATTCTAAGCTCCTTCCACTAGTCCGCTCAGTCCTAAACCGCACTATGACGTGGCAGCAGTCTGCCCTCATTTTGTAGATGTTGCAGAGATCACAGAGATAAAATCTGTGAGGCTGAGATTTGACCTCTTGGGCACCAGAGCCCCCTGCACCACGTGACTTCCTATTTGTCATCCCAGAAATGCACAATGATGTGCATTGTCACAATGATGTGACCGGCTCGCCGGCAGCTTCACAGGCTGCTCTCAGCTCAACTTTCCAGGTTTGCAAAGTGGCCCTTTGCAAAGTTTCCAGGTTTGCAAGTTTGGTTTCTGATTCCTCAGCAAACAGGCATTTCTCTTCAAAAGCTACTTGAAGACTTGTCAGGCAAAGCTTAGCGGTCTTCGCCCTCTAGCCTGGGAAGCCACCACCAACGAGAGCAGGAAGTGAGGCCGGGAAGTCCCTGTGGTCAGGGGCACCCTGGCAGGGAGCCTTTCTTGTCTGGGCTCCTGTATCTCCTGGACCCGTTGCCAGGCATGTGAGTCCATTGAGGAGACCCTGGGAACCAGTCCAGACTCCCTAAACACTCAGAGGTGGCAGAACTGGAAGCCGCACGCCCTCCCCATCCCCGCCTGGAGCGAGGTCCTGCACAAACGCACAGTTGATAGAGGGATCTGTCACGTGCAGGCTGCTCATTCTTCCAGCCAGCCCATGTCACAATTAGGGCAGCGAGTGCCAGGGTCATTGTGCCACCATCAAACCAAGACCCGGAGGGCAGAGTGAGGTGCCTGGACTCACCCAGCTGGGCAGAGCTGGGGACCAACCCAGGGAGCCCTTGCGAACTGCCACACATCCACTGATGGTTCTGAGCACACAGGGGTGTGGGCTCCCTGATGGCAGGCACAGGGGTGTGAAGCTGGAGCGGGTGGGTGCTGGGAGGCAAAGAGGGAGAAGGGTTAGACCTTTGGGATCTCCCAGAGAAAGTGCAGGGAGCCGATCTGGCCTTCTGGACAGAGTCCAGCAGTGGCCAGCATGTGAGGCTCAGTGTTAATGGAAGAAGGGGTGAATGCTCTGCTGAAGTCATGTGTGACCACACCAGCTTCCAAGTGATACTCAAAGTGGCCGAAGATTCTGCCCCAGGGCCTTTGCCTGAGGTTCCCTCCACCTGGAATGTTCTCCCCGTCCTAGGCATCCCTCCGATTCCAGCTCAAGTGCCACTTGCTCTTAGTTTGTGCATACCCACCCACCCTTGTGTCCCTCAGAGGCATGCCATGCTTTCCAGGTGCCCAAGAGCACTCACCCACCCCTCAAGCCTCATTCTTACAACTCATTTCTAGTCTGATTTCTTCATTGGGACACAGAGACCTTCTCTGTCTTGCTTCCCATGCCTGGTAGAGTGTCCCACAGGCAGGGTCAGGCCGACACATGCTTTTTGGATGAATGTCTGTGCACTTACTTGTCTGAACTGGTGGCGGTCGGGGCTGGGGTGGGCGCAAAGCCCATAAACCCCCTCGGGTTTCTACCTACTGTCCCGTTTAATGCAGATAAGAACCAGTTTGGCTTCTGCGGCCTGAGTCACCCTCCTGGAAGCTGAGCTTGTCTTGGCGTTGATCCCCAGCGGGGCCCACCTCCTCCTGGGGCTGTCTGGCCCTGCGTGGGTGTGTGGGAGAGCCGCTCCCTCCTCCCCTGTCCTCAGGTGGTCAGGAGGGAGGACAGCGCCACACTGGGAGGTGGCGCAGGTACCGCCCCCACAGTCTTTATTTGAGCAAGTCGGTCTAGAGCTGGAGGCTGAGGACCTCGGGAGAGCTCGGGAGACCTCGAATCCAATCAGGCCCTCATGGCTCTAGGTAAGCTCCTTCCAATGCCATTTTCCATCTGAAACGTGGGGGAGGAAAACGTGTTCCACTGGTGGAAGGGCCAGTATTTACCCAGTGCTTCCAGAGCAGCATTGGGAGCATGACCCCCAGGCCTGTCTGTCTGGGAGGCCAGGGCAGTGGGCCCAGAGGCTGCTCCACCACAGGACCCCTCAGGGAGCCCTGGAGTCTGTTGGTCAATGATAGAACCAGGGAAGTATCTCTGTAACACGAGGGACAGAAGAGTCTGTGTGTGATGAGATACCCATAGAACCCAGCAGTGATTCACAAGGTCGGAGTGGTGACAGGGAAGGGTGGGGCCTGCAGAGAATGAAATGACTGACACCAGGTAGTTCCAGCAGATGGGTGACCCGTGAGAATGCAGGCCTGGAGCCAAACTGATCTCTCTCTCTCTCTCTCTCTCTCAAGAAAAGCCAAATATTCAGATTTCATTGTGAGTAATGCTCTGGTTAAATAAAACCATAGAGCAAGCAGGTAAAATATTACATCTATGAGTCACTAATTTTGAACCTCTGATTAGGATACGTGTGGGGCAAAGAAAAAAAAAATCTTAGGATTGCTGATCTGAGAACCCAGATTCTATTTGCATTTATTTGGCCCTTGTGAGCAGACGGTTTCTGCCTGCTTGGTCTGGCTTTCCTGGTCTCAGGAGAGAGGGGGCAAATGCTCAGGGGTTCACGGTCAGGAGGATGCTAACCCTCCCGCGAGCTTACTGTGAGATGCCCTTACCCGGCTCGTCTTGTTCAGTCCTCACAGTGCCAGATGAGAAAGAGGAAATAGAGGTAGAAAGATGAAGTCATTTGCCCAAGCCAGACAGCCAGTCTAAGCCTGGGTGGACTGCAGATGAGTCTGTCTCCCTTTTACCATGCTGTGCTGCAGTACGGGCCTAGGCTGGATGAGATCAGGGGAGGAGGAGCTGGGGAAGCCACAGCAGTGATCCTGAGGCAGCAGATCCGCCCCTCCCCAGGCTGCAGGCATCTCTAGTGGGATGTGCTAAGATCTAGCTCAGGGTCTTGTGTGGTTTTCTAACGTGTACAGATAATGCTTGGAGCTTGGAATCACTGTCAGAACCAGATGACGGTACGTTGGGAATAAATTTCTTTACTTAAAAATAGTCCATTCCAGAAAGGCAGTTGCTGGGTGGGTAGCACAGGAGCAGAGCACCTGCCCACTGTGTGCCAGGCCCTGGTTTCACCCCAGAGCTACGAGATTGATCTGGCACAGATAGGTGCTAAATAAATGTGCGTGAGCTTGACCTGAATTGGATTCAGGAAGCCAGTACCAGCAAGCCCAGAGAAGACACCATGCTCCCTAGGAGAAGGAACCACAGTCTCCCTCTAAGCCAGGACTACGGGAGGCAGTGACCCTGCCAGGCAGAGAAGCTGGGGAGATGTGTGTTCTGATGAAAGCTGGGAGAGAGGACAAGGAACAAGGACAAGGGTGGGGTCACTGCACATGCTCAGCACAGCTCAGGCCCACCGCTCCAGCCTCTGCTTCCTCTCTGTACCACGAGGTCCCCACTTACCCTGCAGCTGACGTGTGTGAGGAGGAGGGGGACGAGGAGAGGAAGGAGAAGATGAAGAAAATGTCCATCCCTTTGAGGACCCAGGTTTGAACACAGCATTAAGCCACCCCGTGTCCATGGCTTCTTGATCATGCAGCTGGAAGATGTTGAGGATGAATGGATTAGTTGAAAATTAGCTTGACAGAGTGGCGGTTGTTGACTGCTGTGATTGATCGCTGCCACATTGGCTGCAGTCTCTTTTCCTGAGTGGAGACTCACTGTGGTTTTTGGATACGCTTGTATTTCTCTCTCTAGATGGGTCACCTCTCTGCCAACAAAAACAAGCTGAATTGGCAGGGTATAAGGACAAACCAATTGTGTCTGCAATTTGTGGCATCAGCCATCAGAGGTGCCTTTGCCTTTTAAGCCTTCATAAGTTAGAATGACCCACAAGCAGCGACTTGGGAGGCGGAGGCAGGACGGTTGCGAGTTCAAAGCCAGCCTCGGCAACTTCGCAAGGCCTTAGTCATCTTAGAGAGACCCTGTCTCAAAGTACAAAATAAAGAGAGGTGGGATGTGGCTCAGTGGTCAATCAAATCCCAATACCAAAAAGACAGAAAAAGAATGAGTGACCGGTGGTCCTGGTTTATCAGGGGCTGAGAGGTTTGCTGAGATAAAGAACTTGCAGTCATAATGCGGTTACAGTAAGACCTGGAATGTCTTCCAAATGTTTATGTGTCAAAGGCTAACAAAAAAGTCAAATCCTGCAAACTAGGGCAATTGGTCACCTGAGGACACATTTAGGTGAAAAGTTTGCCCTGTGGCACCGTATAAAGTTTTAGACTTATTCTTTCCTTACTACAAATTTTTTAAAAAAATGAACTAAATAGTTGCCTAAGCAGTGTAAATTCAAATGAAACGGAGCGCCACAAGAATGAATGCAATTCTTGCTTCTTCCAATCATGCAATGAGCAGAGAGGAGAAAACTCAGCTTTCTCTCTGGCTGACTTCAGTGTGGGAAGGACTAACCAAACTGGATTCAAATCCAAGCTCACTGGGGTCTGGAGAAGTGGCTTAATCTTTCTGAGCCTTAAGTTCTTTCTCTGCAAAGTGGCTACGAGAATGTTTCCATCATGAAAATGGGTGCTGTTATGGACCAGAGGACCAGAGGAGATCTGGAGGAGGTAGTGTCACACAGGCTGGGGCACAGCTCAGTGGCAAGGTGAGCCCAGCATGCACGAGGCCCCAGGCCACTCCCCAGCACAGCTTCGGCCACACAGCTGTCTCCTCCTCCTCTCTGGCTCCTCTTGCCTGCAGAGAAGCTGTCTTGCAGAGTTAATCATCAAAGCCAAGAAGGCAAGAGCAAACACGTATCTCCAAAAACTTAAGGGAAATTGACAAATGCTGACTTTCCCTGCAGATCTGTAGTAACACACGGGAGCAAAAACCACTTGGCAAGACTAAACTTCAGAAAGGATCCGTAGGAGTTACTATTTGGATCTGGTAGGAGAACAAGCTTCTTGCAAACAGTGAGCCATAATGGTTGGTTTATACACAAAGAATGCTCTGCGGCAGCCAGAAGAGCAAATGTGGTTACTCTGATGTCAGCTAGCGGGAGGGCTATAGCTTGGTGGGCAGAGACGCCCCGGAGGCCAGTCTCCAAGCCTGGTTTGCTGCCAGGGCACCTTCTAATAAACTTCTAATAAACTGCTGGATGTGGTTCAAATGAACTAGTATCTGGCAGGGCTGGCTGAGGGGAGATGGACAAAGAGAGACATCAAATTAAACTGTAGGGGTTTGTATTTTGTTTTCTTCCTCTTCATATTAAAATATATATCCATGACTTGGAAAGAACAACTAGGGTGTTTGTACCATTGTCTTAGTAAAAAATTACAAGGTTTGGACAGTAGTGCCTGTTCTGGGTGGTAGGCACTCGGGCATGGCATGCTGGTGGAAGATGGTGAATAAAGCCATTGGAACCCAAGGTGCACAGCTGCTCACCAAAGCCGGATGCTTGCGTCTTAGCCACAGCACTGGCTGATGCACTCGCAGATCCAGCAGGCTCCTGGAAAGTGTCTGCACCCAGATTCAGTAAGTGTTTCTGATACACTGGATTCATCAGTAGGATTATTTCCTGCAAGGGTGAGAGGACCTCTGGAGAGTCACTTGTGCTGAGAGGAAGGAGGTGGGAGTTGGAACATGTGGAAATGGTTTCTCTCTAGAATGGATGAAGAGCAGCCAAGCCTCCCCGATGCCCCGGGGCGCTGCAGCCTGATGCCGTGGGGTGTGCTCACGTCTCCCCAGTTCCCGTTCAGTGCAGTCACGTCAGTGGCTTGAGCTCATCTCTGGTGGGAGGACTCATACCACAAGTGGACACTTGCTGTTTACCAGCTCAACTCGGCCCTGATTTCAGGGTTAGTCACGCTGATTCAAATCTACCCCATCTGTCCACTCTCACCAACCAGGAGGACCTTAACATAAAAGAAACCTGACATCATGCTCTGGTTCAATTTCACTAAAGGTCAATTCCCAGCTCCTTGGGACAACACCCAGGTCCTTCTGCTCTGTCTCCCCCCAAGCTCTGCAGTCACTTCTGCCTCTACCCTTGGGTGACACTCACTCCAGCCTTCCCGAATAAGATGGCCCCAGGTTCTACCTGTGGCTAGGTTTTTCAGAATGGACCCTCCTGCGAAAACATCTAGAACAGTCAGATAAGATGCCCCAAGGTGCCAAGGCGGAAGGACTGCAGGGCCCAGGGAGGTGGGGCCAGCCCAGAGGCCTTTCACCAGGGCCATCTGCAGGTTCCAAAAGGCTTGGTTGGGTTGGGGTAGCTCAGTGGTAGAGCACATGCTCAGCATGGGTGAGGCCCTGGTTCCGTCCCCAGCACCCAGCCCACCCAGCTCAGCTGTGGATTCCTGGGTCCTCCTTGGTGGGGGCCACGTGGGTAAAATTTGTACTCTGCTCTGTTTAGGATGAAGGGTCCTGAAAACTCCCACACAGTAGGGCTGTAACCTGGAGGGTAAAAGTGGAGGGAAATTCAGCAGCCCGCTCCAGCAGGGAAGCCCCCCTCTGAACCACCTCAAGTCATGTTTGGGTGAAGGTGACCTAGGGCTGCAGTTCTCCCTACCCAGCTTCCCAGCAGGAACAAAGCAACTCATCTGGAGTCAAGACAGCCTCACCCAGAGGCGCCAATGATCTCTACAGGTTTTGCTGTATAGTGTCCATCAATCAATAAGAAGTAATCAGGCATGTTGTATTAGTAAGTTTTGAGTTACCATAATGACATACCTGAGATAGTTAATTTACAGAGAGAAAAGGTTCAATCAGCTCATGATTTTTGGAAATTTCAGTCCAAGATCAGGTGGGCCCGTTGCTTTGGGTCTCTGGTGAGGGTAACAGGTGGCAATCGCAGGGAGCGCATGATGGGACAAACTTGCTCACCTTGCCAGCCAGGAAGCAAAGGGCAAAGAGCAGGAAGAGCCAGGGGTCGGGGTGTGCACCTGTCCTCCCAGCAACTTGCAGGGGAATCACAAATTCAAGGCCAGCCTGAGAAATTTAGTGAGACCCTGTCTCAAAATAAAAGTAAAAAAGGGTTGGGGGTGCAACTCAGTGTCGAGCACCCCTGGTTTGCAATACTGAAAACACCAAAAAGAAAGAAAGAAACAGAAAAGAAGGAAAAACAACAGGGAGGGAAGGGGCTGGGGAGCACGACCCCCCCCTCGGGAGCACACTTCCAGTAACCCAACGAGCCCCGCCGCTGGAGGCGCCCCACCTCCCCTAGTGCCACCCTGGGACGAGTCCTCCCGCAAAAGAACCTTGGGGGAGCACTTATCCGACCCACAGCATATGTGCGAGACAACCTGAGCGTTAAAGAAAAACAGCAGAAGGAGACCCAGCAGGGCTCCAAGTAATGCAGTTGTCAGCTTTTAAAAGGCCCGTGGATAATATGCTCAAAGATTTAGAAGGCAAGATTGAAAATTTTGGCAGAGAGCTGTGAGCATGCAAAGGAGGAACCAAATGGAAATCCTAGAACGGAAAGATATAATTAACTGGGATTGAGAAACAGCTCACACCATTGAACACGCCCCACGTGGCCGGGGGCCATGCTTAGCACTTCACAGGCAGCATCAGAAGACAGTGGCAAAGTCACCCTCCCACTTCCCCGCAGGGACCCCTCGGGGCTCCCAGGTCCCCTGTGGTAGCACTCTTCTTTATACTCTGCTGTCTCCTAAGACGTGGACACCCTGCCTCCATCTCTCCCTCACCGGGGCCCCTTTAAGCAGGTCCTCATCATTTCTGATGGTGCCACTGTCTACTAGCATCAGGCTCAGTGTCTAGAAGGCACTAGATACAGCTGTGGGGACCCGAAGCCCAGAGGGAAGTCACCAGTACTGGTCAGGAGAGCAGGATCCTGTAAGTGCTGTGGTCATTTAGCTTCATTCAGGAAGCAGAGTTGGGGGCTAAGTACCTAGAACTGAGAAGAAGTTTAGTCAGAGATGTCCTGTGGGCAGAAATCACACGGACACCAACTGGTTTGGTGCAATAAATGGAACCAAGTTTGGAACTGTGGCCAGAAGCGTGAGGACAGGGAGAGAGCTTCCCGTCCCCCTTCTCCCTGTCTCTTCCTTTGGGAAGGGGAATAGACTTGCATCTGGAGCAAGAAAGGAGGGTAGGTCAGTACACAGGGAAAGGAGCAGGGATCAGTACCTAGGGAAAGGAGGGTGGGTCAGTATATAAGGAAAAGAGCAGGGATCAGTACCCAAGGAAAGGAGGGTGAGTCTGTACATGAAGAAAGAAGCAGGGATCAGTATCCAGGGAAAGGAGGGTGGGTCAGTACATAGGGAAAGGAGCAGGGATCAGTACCCAGGGAAAGGAGGGTGGGTCAGTATATAGGGAAAAGATAAGGGATCAGTACCCAGGGAAAGGAGGGTGGGTCAGTACATAGGGAAAGGAGCAGGGATCAGTACCCAGGGAAAGGAGGGTAAGTCAGTAAGCAGAGGAGAGGCTGGGAGTGCAGGGCAGGGTGTGGGGGCTGGGGCAGTGTGACTCATTTCTCCCACTTTACCTTGGGTGAAAGAGCACACATGATCTTTGTTACTTGGCTACTTCTCACGTGCCAGGGACAGGGCTAAGGACACCACACACAGCATCTTATTTCATTCTTACAGCAACCCAGGATGTGCTTCTGTTATTGGCCCCATCTAACAGATAATGAAACTGGCACCCAGACAGCCTGGCTCATCGTCTGAGACGACCTAGCCAGTAAATGACAGGGGAGGATTCA